ACCACACACCATGCACCTGGAGGGGAACATCACGCTGATGGGAAACACAGGAACACACCTTTGTTTGCTCAGATCTGACCGGGCTCCCACACTGCTGGGCCTGGCCTCCGTGTGGATGCTCCAAGGGGGGCCCCAAACCACAGAACATCAAGGTCCCACAGACCCACATTTTCACACACTGAGGGGCTCGCAGGGAGTGAAGGACGTCACCAGGGGACAAGAAAGTGACTCAAAGCCTAGTGTGTCTGGAGGAGGCAGCTTCATCCCCAGAGAGGAACAGGGAAGAAGGGAGGGCTGGGACCTGGGAAGGTGGCGAGGGGCAGGTACCCTCTCTGTCTGTGTGTGTGTGGGGGGGGTGATGTGAAGGGCAGGACTGCCCCCGGTGCCCCAGCAGGTTGGGGGTGGAGAGTGGCTGCTTTGCCGGGTTTTGAACTCTTGTCCCCAACCATGCAGAAAGTCCTGCTGCTCTGTCCAGGGCTTTGGGTGAGCGGGATCTTTTTTTTTTTTTTTTTTTTAAGATTTTTATCCATTCATTTGACAGAGAGAGAGACAGAGATCACAAGTAGGCAGAGAGGCAGGCAGAGAGAAGGGGAAGCAGGCTCCCCACTGAGCAGAGAGCCCGATGTGGGGCTGGATCCCAGGACCCTGAGATCATGACCTGAGTCGAAGGCAGAGGCTTAACCCACTGAGCCCCCCAGGCACCCCGAGCAGGATCTTTGAGGACCTTGCAGACGCCTGGATTTCAAGGGTGGGTTGATGCAGGATGCCAGAGGCCATGCGGAGCCAGCCCTCTCTCCCTGCTGCGTTTCCCCCCCAGCCCGACAGCCTGAACTCACAGGGGTCCAAGGAAGGTGACGGGTACCCCCAGGCATGGGGCTGGCACAGCCGCTTTATGGAGCTAGACAGCTTGTTGTACCCAAATCTCAAGGTCGAGCTTACCACCCAGGCTGACCTGGAATGCTCACCAAGGGGTCGTCTCACGTCCCTCCTGAGGTGCCGGAGAACCAGCCTTTCCACCACAGTCCTCTTGCCTTCCTGTGACAATCCCACGGCCTGCACCGCGTGCGCTCTCAGGGGGCGGGCAGCACCAGAAAACCAAGGTCACCTTCCCTTTGCCACCCTACTTCTTTCCAAGGAAGAAGGATGAGTCTCGCCCGCTGCATTTCAGAACAACGGCGCAGCAGGCAGAGCAGAGACAGAGACAGCGGCCGGAGGGGGCCCTGGAGGTCGTCTGCCGAGTCACTTCAGCCGCTGTGGCACCTGTGAGGCGCACCTAGAAACGCCGGTTTCGTTTCTGACTTTCTGCAGAGCAGATTTCAAGTTTTTAAAAAAGACCGATTTTTTGCTCTTCTTTTGAGGAAGCATGTCAGTCAATGGGAACCTATCAGATGTAATCACAGCAGTTTCATACCGAGGAACTAAATGGGAAGAAATGAACAGCAAAATTCTCCTACGTCCTTTGTCTGAAAAACACTTACGTCCTCCAGATAAGAAGGCACCATTGTTCACACTCAGAGCCCCTTCCCCGAGTCCCTCCACCCACAGCCACAACAGTTCATTTTTAAAAGAAAACTATTAAGAACTGCAACGTTTCCCTACACCTAAAGTGGAAGGGAGATGTAAGATAGGGTGCGTGATGGAGACGTCGGGCCTGTGGGGTGCGGGCCCAGAAAGGGGCGAGTGGCTGTGAATGTTGTCCCCGAGGAGTGAAGAGTCTACAATTGCCCACAGGAAGTGGGGCACGACAGTCCGGAGCACCAGCTGGCCTCGGAGCCAGGACAAGGCGCCCATGGCGACGGCAGGAAGGTGATAAGGAAGATCGCCTTCAATAGCAACACTTGAGGAGGACCGAGAGGACGGACCTGGGCTCCGCCAGCTCCATTTTTATTTCAAAGGTGCACATTTGCCAACCTCGTTATCTGGCCCGCCCGCAGGCCGGCTTCTGTCATCCCTTGTTCTTCCTGGGATCTGATCCTGTGTACGTGTTGCCTTCTGTATGATGCACGTTACACACAGATGACTCGAGACCGAGGAAGGTGTTTTCTTCCCCTCTCGAAAGGACGGACGTCTGCTCCTGGCAAGGAGCCAGACACACCGAGCACCCCAGGTCTCCCTAATGCGGTCCGGCTCCCTGGGATCTGGTGTTTTTCAGGTTCCCTCTTCCCAGCCCAAAGTCTTGGTGCTGACTAGACCCTCCCTCTCTGTAGCAATCTCAGAAGAACAACTCGTCCCTTTGTCTTTGGTCCGTTGGGAGCTTTGCTCAGTGGCTGAGCTCTCAGCTCCTGTATAGAAAGGAGTTCTTCGGGGAAGAGTCCCCCGTTCAGGAACTCTTCAGTCCCTTGTGAGTGGAAGCGCTGGTCCTCACGACCTGGCGAGCCACCGCGCCAGCAGAAGCCGAGAGTGACCCTTCACAAGGCGGACCTAACCCTAGAACCCGTGTAAAGCTCTTCAGTGGCCCTCGTAGCTGCCCCTTTCGGCCGCCTGCCCAGCGACCAGGACGTCTGACGGTGACGCGAGTTCCCGGTACTGTGGTGGTTTTGTGCGTGCCAACTTGGCTGGCCTCAATGACCGCCCGCCGCCACCCCATCTCCCTTTCCCACAGGGTTTCCTAACTGGGCCACTAGAGGCGTTTGGGGTGAGCCGTGGTGTGGGGGTGGGGGATGCAGCAACGCTCTCACACCTGGAAGGTCAGGATGGAGCCCCAGGTGTGGCAGCAGCTCGTGGTGGGAGGCAGGTGGGCAGCTGCCCCCCCCCCCCCCCCCCCCCCCCCCCCCCCCCCC